TTATGGGGGACTACAAAGTGAATAAAGTGTAATTAATAAAAATAAAATGTAATAAAAAGAGATGGTTCAGTAGTTGAGAGTGTCTGATGTTCTTGCAAAGGTGTGAGTTGTGTTCCAGCAGTGACATGGTGGCTCCCAAGCACATGTAACAGCAGTTCTAGAGGATCAGACTCATTCATTTGATATCCTCTAGCTCATAAAGAAAGATGGGCAGAAAGAAACAGACAGACACACACACACACACACAATTCGAGCAAAATAAAAGAAATATATAATTAACAAAATTTAAGCTGCCCATGGTGGTACGAAAGGTGATGCCAAAGGTCAGAAAGAGTTGAAAGTCTGAGTTGGAGGACATCCTGGTTTATAAGAGCGAATTTTAAGAATGTCAGCAAGCATTACACAGAGAAACCCTGTCTGGAACACAAAACAAAACAAAAAACTTAAAACTTAAGTTTTTAAGTTTAGAAAAAAAATCTGACCTTTGAAAGTTATGTTTTCTCACTGTTTAAATACACATATACAAAAGTTAAACACCTGCCAATTGCCATTTATTTGTGTTTTAAGATTTTTTAAATATTTATTTATTTATATGCATATGAGCGCTCTATCTGCATGTACATCTGCATGCTAGAAAAGGACATTAGATCACATTATAGATGGCTGTGAGCCACCATGTGGTTGCTGGGAATTGTACTCAGGATCTCAGGAAGAGCAGATACTGCTCTTAACCATTGAGCCATCTCTCCAGCCTCCAACTGTCATTCATAATGATTTATCCTTCTATCAGTAACAAGCAAAAATCTAGTGAAATAGACTTCTTGCAAGTGCAGCTCTCTCTAGACCCCCATGTCCACCATGCTGGGCCTGTACCACTTCCTCACCTTCATTACTGCATCGCTCACAGGGAGGCACACGGACTGTAGATAGTTCCACAGCTTCTCTGAAAACATGCTGAACTGGGTCAGGAGGTCATACAGGAAATGGTGACTCTGTAGAAGGTTGACCATTGAACTTATAATCCATCTGCAAACTTCCTTCATTCCTCTCCACAAAATTAAAGTGGTACTATCCATTTGTCCAGATGGGAAAGTTTTCTCCTTACCTTACTGAATATATCTCGACTGTCATTCCTCTGTGGGTATTTTTTTTTCCTGATTTTTGTAGGACAGGGTAACTGTGTAGCCCTGGCTATTCTGGAACTAGCTTTGCAGAGCAGGATGGCCTTGAACTTACAGCTATCTGGCTGCCTCTGTTATTCAAGTGCTGGGATTAAAGGCATGGGCTACCACTGCCCGGCTTTTCTGTGGTCATTCTTATCTTGCTTTGTACTGATCTACCTGTGCATCCCATGCAGCTAGTCCTGTGCCAGTCCAAAGAACAAAATTACATGGGTGTTCATGCACATGGGATTCTGTGAACATTCTTGTTGGTTCCCTCTACCCAGATTACCATAGCTTCCTTCAATTTAGCAAATACCAGCATACTCTCAATTTGGCAATACATCTTAATTATAAGTTGCACTAAGGGACTTTTCAGATGCTGGAGAAGAGAAGCTATACTGGTAGGTTGGGGAGTAGAGTTTTGGAAATCTAAATTTTGAGTGAATAATGTCACAAATCATTTTTTTATGCTTTTACTGATGGTGCATTTTTTTTTCATCCTCTACCAACGTGGCTGCTATGATTTTGGATCCTTCTTACCAATTTGAGAAGTTTAAGAGTGTTAGAAAATGTTAATTCAATGTAATGAGGTGTCTCAAATTCTGGCCACAAGTTCAAATCTGCTGCCATAAATCAAGTTAGGTTGCATGTCAATGGAGCCCCTTCAAGGTGCCCCTACATTGTTCCCAGTCACTCCAAAACTCTTCTTTATCATGTCTGAGACCCCAACTGAGGCAGAGACTGCCTTCTAGACCAAAGCCTAAGCTAGCTGCCAGAAATCCAGCCCCAACTTGACTGGAGATCCCTGCTCAGCCATGGGCCACACCTGCTAGAAGATCAGCGTAGAAATGGCAACAAAGAAACAAAAAACCCATCCACTAAAGGCAAATTCAGAAATAAGCAACTAGACCTATAATCACCCCACAGCCAGATGTGTGCATGCATGAATATAAACACTGTCATCAACAGCCAAGTAATATGTCACCATTAGAGCCTAGCAATCCTAAGACAGCAAGCCCTAAACATCCAAACAGAGCTGAAGCGCGCGCGCGCACACACACACACACACACACACACAAAGACTGAAAGATGTTGGGAGGATGATAGAAGCCCTTAAAGAGGAAATGAATAAATCTTTTAAGGAAATCAAGGAAAAGATAAAAATTCAAGGATGTTCACAAATCCCTTCAAGAAAGACTAGAAAAAAAGTTAAAGGAAATGAGTAATACTGTTCAGACCAGAAAATGGATGTAGAGGCAATAAGAAAACACAAATTGGGGGGAATTCGATAAATGAAAATTGTAGGTAACTGAACAGGATCTACAGAGGGAAGCTCCTCTGAGTACAAGAGCTGGAAAAGAGAATCTTGGGCATTGAAGATACAATAGAAGAATTAGCTACAGCAGTCAAATAAAATGTTAAATCTAAAAACCTGACACAATGCATCTGGAAAATCTGGAAAACTATGAAAAGACCAAACCTAAGATTAAAGGAATAGAAGATGAAGAAGATGCCAGTTCAAAGACCCAGAAAATACTTTTCACAAAAATTTTCCTAATCTAACCTAAAGAAGAAGATGCCTATAAAGGTTCAAGAACACGAAATAGACTAGACCAGAAAAGAAAGTCAGCTTGACATATAATAATCAAAACACTAAACATTAAATTCAACTACCCAGTAAAAAGACATAGACTAACTGAGTGCATGTGAAAAAAAAATCCATCTTTCTGCATCATACAAGAAACACACCTCAACATCAAAGATTTCCATTGCTTCAGAGTAAAGGCTTGGAAAAATATTTTCCAAGCAAATGAGCTAAGACATAAGCTGATGTAGCTATTCTAACATGTAACAAAATAGAATTCAAACAAAAATTAATAAAAAACAAACAATCCCAAACAAACAAAACAGGGAAGGACACTTCATACTCATCAAAGGAAAAATCCACCAAGATGATGTTTCAATTATTAACATCTACATCCCAAATGCCTGGACAACTATGTTTATAAGAGAAATATTACTAAAGCTTAAATTATACATTGACCCTCACACAATGACTAGTTTATGCAGCCAAAAGCTAAACAAAAATGCTGGCACTAACAGAAATTATAAAACAAACGAACCTGACGTATTTGTAGAACATTTCATCCAAACACAAAAGAATTAACTTTCTTCTCAGTTCTCATAGAACTGTCTACAAAAGTGACCACATACTTGGTCACAAAGCAAGCCTCAATAAATACAAGGAAACTGAAATAAACCACTGTATCTTATCAGATCACCAGAGATTAGAGCAGAATTTCAACAATAATAACATAAAGCCATCAATATCAGGGAAACTGAACAATTCTCTCCTGAATGAAAACTGAGTCAAGACAGAAATAAAGAAAAAAAGGACATTGTAGAATTCAATCAAAAGGAATACACAACATACCCAAACTCATGGAACACAATGAGAACAGTGCTATGTGGAAAGTTAATAGCTCTAAGTGCTTACATAAAAATGTGTAGCGATTTCATACTAGTAGCTTAACACAACTGAAAAGCTCTAGAACAAAAAGAAGTAGGTATACCCAAGAGAAGGACAGAGCAGGAAACAATCAATCTGAGGGCTGAAATTAATAAAATACAAAGAGCAATACAAAGAATCAGTCCAACAAAGAGTTGGTGTTTTGAAAAAATCACCAATATTGGTGAGCCCTTATCCAACTGAACTAAAAGGTGATGGGAATATTCAAATTAACAAAATTAGGAAAAGGGAGAGGGGACATAGTAACAGACTGAGGAAATCCAAGAATCAGTAGGTCATACTTTAAAAGCCTATACTCCACAGAATTGGAAAAGTTTAAAAAATGGATAGTTTTCTTGTTAGACACCACTTACCAAAGTTAAATCAAGATCATATAAACAATTTAAACAGACCTATAACCCTTAAGAAAATAGAAGCAGTCATTAAAAGTATCTCCAAACAATAAAAGCCCAGGGCCACATGATTTTAGTGCAGAATTCTACCAGACTTTCAAAGAACAGCTAAGGCCAATAATCCTTAAGTTATTCCACTAACATAGAAATAGAAACATTTCCAAATTCTTTTTATGAGGCACAGTCACCCTGATACCCAAACCACACAAAGAATCAACAAGAAAAATGAACTACAAATATCCCATATGAACATAGAGGCAAAGAATACTCAATAAAATTCTTCAAACTAAATCTAAGAATACATTAAAACATCATCCAAATTGACCAAGTAGGCTTTATTCCAGAGTTGAATGGATTGTTCCACATGCAAAATCAGTCAATTTACCATATAAACAAACTGAAAAAAAAATGATCATCTCATTAGACAATAAAAGCCATTGACAAAATCCAATACCCCTTCATGACAAAAGTCTAGGGGAGAGTAGGGATACAAGGGACATACCTAAATATAGTAAGAGTAATTTACACCAAGCCTATAAACAACATCAAATTAAATGGAAAGAAACTCAATGCAATTTCACTAAAATCAGGAACAATGCAAGGTTCTTCATTCTCTCCATATCTATTCTGTAGAAAAACAACCATAACAGAGGAGGTGAAATACATACGTACATATTTATAACAATAAATAACCCAAAGATTACTGAAGAAAAGGATATTACATGTTTCTGGATTTGCCAATGGATTTTAAGGTTAACAACCAAAGATAAGTTATTAAGTCAATGTATGTGGGATTTTTAGCAAAGACATCAAAAGCATATTCCGAAATAGACAGCCTATTCAACAAAAAGTCCTGCCAAAACTGGATGTCTAATTTTGGAAAAATAAAATATTGCTCACTCTGCAGAAAATCAATTTAAAATGAAGAGACCTTTATTTAACATTGGAAATGCAAAAAATACATTAGCTAATATCAAACTCAATTGTATACACACAGAAACCACATACATCATATCTACATTTTACATAAAAAAAACATCATCCACAATACAAAAGGTTATACTGATATTACATCTGTGTTTGTTCATATGGCTGTGGGCAAGGTAAAAAGAAGAGAGGGAATGCTTCTCAGAGAAAGTGGCAAAAGGGAGGATAATAATGGAAAAATACATGACTCATATACATTAAATGTCACATTTGAAACTTTTATTTGCCATGAAGATTTAGTAACCTAATGCAGTGATAAAATATGCACAAAAGAGCAACTAGAAAAGGTTTAATTTGGATCATAGTTCAAAATCACTGTCTACCATGGCATCTTAACCAATGTTCTATTGCTGTGAGAAGCCACCATGACAAAGATAAATTTTATAAGAAAAAAAGCATTTAACTGGGGCTTGTTTACAGTTTCCCAAGTTTTGTTCATTATCATTATCATGGGGAGCATGGTGGAATGCAAACAGACTCAGCTAGAGAAATAGCTGAGAATTCTACATCTGGATATATAGTCAGTATAAAGAGCAGGACACTGGACCTGGGTTTTTGAAACCTCAAAGCCTACTCCCAAAATGACACACTTATACCAGTGATGCCACATTTCTTAATCCTTTTCAAGTAGTGTCATTACTGGATGGCTAAACATTCAAATCTACAGGCCCTTGGGGGCAATTCTTATTCAATCACCACAAGTGGTGAGAAAGTTAAAACAACAGGAGCTTAAAGCAACTGGTCCTATTCCAGCCACAGTGAGGAAGCAAGAGATAGATGAAGAGTGTTCTCTCCTTATACCATCCAGCACCTCAGTCAAACAGATGCTTCCAAGCACAATCAACAGGTCTCCTGACTTCAATTAAATTAATCAAAATAAGCCCTGCAAATGAAAAACCACAGGTTTTCCTCTCTAGAGCTCACTGTGTGAACAACTGGGATTTAAGTATTACTTCTTAAACCTTGTCTATATAAACACAATTCAAAACATAATTTAAGTTTATTTTGACACTGTCCACATATGTATGTGTGTGTGCGCGCCCATGCATAGAGATCAGAGGACAACCTTCAGAGGTAATTTCCTCTTTCTAACTTGTTGTTACTAAGAATACTAATACAGCCACAGCCAGGATACAAAGTGAATAAATAGTAATATATAACAAATAAAAATTTTTAAAAAACAAAAACAACAACAAAAAGAATACTAATATAGTTGTTGCTCTTGGTAGCAATTAAGTTTATTCCCAAAACCATCATACTAGCTCCAGCTACAAAGCTTTAAGTTATAACATTCTCTCCCTTTTTCATACTCTTACACTCATCTCATAAGTAAAATAGGATCCAACTTGAAAAGTTCACAAAAGTACTGAACAGTTTGAAGAGTATGACAGACTCCCAGCCCACATCTCATGTGAGACTCAAGGTAAACTGTCAGCTCCTATAACATAAAAACTAGTGACTACCTGTACCACACATTGGCATAGAACATTCTGATCCCAAACAGTAAAAACAAAACAAAAACAAACAAACAAACAAAAAAACAAAACACATGACAGCAAGGAAGGATCAGCTCCAAATCCAGGACAAAAACACAATGTGACAGCTCCATTTTTGACATCTGGGACTTCTGCTGCCTTGGGGTTGACTCCAAAGGACTCACGTGGTCCCACCCTTCCACTTAACAAAAGACACATAGCCTCTCTCCTAGTCATGCTCCACTCACTGCTAGAAGCTTTCCTTAATAGATTCTATACTTCCCTCTCTCATAAAGCTGGCATCTTGAATAACTGAGAGCATGTCATTATTTGGTGTTATAACAAGTTGATAGCCTTGGTCTTGAATGAGCTGCATGATTCTGGCACCAATGACTTGTTTGTTTTTTTTTTTTTTTTCCAGCACATCAAACAATGATGTTGCATTAACTCCAAGTATTACCTCACATTTTTAACACTCCCCATTAACAGAATTGATCATTTACACTGATCTCTTCTTGTCCTTACTATCTTAGGAAGGATGACATATTTACTACATTCTTTGCCTTCACATATAATTTGTTATGATGTATACATGTTGAACAAAATTACTGCCAGAGTCATATGTAGAAGGACATAGCTGAAATCTAGAGGCAACAGGTGAGGTAGAAACCACAGAGGCATGCTGCTTTCTGTGTTCACTTTGGCTTGGGTTAGCCAGCATTCTTATACCCCCAGGACCATCTGGCCAAGCGTGGCACATGCAAGGTGCACTGCCATCATCCAGTGGTCCAGATTCTCCTACATCAAGCAGCATTAATGAAAATGACTCATAGACATGTTCAATGGGCCAATCAAAACCAGTCACCTACCGAACTGAGACTTTCACATATTGATTCTCTGAAGTTGAGAGCAGAAGTGGCATACGTCATCAGGACTTGTTAAACATCTCATCAGTGAAGAGTCTTTAGTGTTGATGAAGAATAAACACATTTTCAAAGGGTTTTCCACATCATTTGGGTGTGTAGATTTGTTTTGATGATAATTAGTGATGTTATTGAAACTTTTTCATATTACTTGGGTGTGTAGAGCGTCTCACTAGTATGAAAGTCTCAGAGGACACTTCTGACATGAGAGTAAGGTAAAAACCCTTGCCCTAATCTTAGCATTTGTAGTACACCTTACTAATATGAGCCCTATGATGTGGATACAGCTAAATGCTTAACCATATTTTACATTTGCAGAGACTCCTGTGCAATTTCCTTGATGATCATCAGGGCTGAATAATAAACAATATCTTCCCAACACTCTCAACATTTGTTGGGTTGTTGCTTAGTATGAGAAATTTCTTTTTGCTTAATTTATGAGGATCCTTCAAAAGCACTGTTCCATCCTTCACAATTGTGTTGCTTCTCTTTAAGATAAATTCCAATGGATGTCAGAAAGTGTTCATTGATTAGTAAACTTTCTACATTTTTTAAATGTGTATGCCTGCCTTCCACTCTAAATTCTTTCATGCTCGTTAAGGTGTGAAATATTTTAAAGGTTTTACCACATTCTCCATACCTGCAAAGCTTATTCACAATGAAAAATTTCGTATCGTTTAGGATCTGAAGATGAGTAAAACATTTTATGAACATCTTAAATGTTTGTACTATGAACTACCTTGTGTTGAGAAATATTAGAAAGCTTATTAAAAGGTTTGCAACATTTTTTAAACTTGTGGAATTTCTCTCCAGTACGAATTATGAGGTGTTTCAAAAGTTCTTACTAAGTCCAAAAGACCTTGGCACATTATTCACACTTGTGTGGTTTCTCTCATAAATGAACTCCTTGATGTTGCTTAAGACCAGAAGACTGGTGAAACATTTTGCCACATTCTCCACACTTGTAATGTTTCTCTACAATATGAATTGTCCGGTGTCTAGAACATGCTGTGTAAGTTCTGAAGTATTTGCAACATTCTTTACACTTGTACGGTTTCTCTCCAGAATGAGTTCTTTGATGCTCCCCAAGGCTTCTAGAACTGTTGACCTGTTTGCCACATTTGTCACATTTGTAAAATTTCTCCCCATTGTGAAGTAATTTGTGCTTAGTTAGGTATGGCTTTGTAGTGAAGGCTTTTCTACAGTCCTCACATTTGTATGGTTTTTCTCCATAATGGATTACCAAATGACTAGAAATTTGACAGAAAGTGCTGAAGATCTGGCTACATACTTCACACTTATAGTGCGCTGTATGAATTCTCTTGTGTACAGACATTAAGGACGGAGTATGAAAGGCCTTGCCACATACTTTACACTTGTAGGGTTTTTCTCCTGTATGAATTCGCTTGTGAGCAGAAAGCAATGATGGAGTATGAAAGGCCTTGCCACATACTTCACACTTACAAGGTTTGTCACCTGTATGAATGTTCTTGTGGTCAGAAAGTACTGATGGAACATTGAAAGCCTTGCCACATACTTCACTTATATGGTTTCTCTCCTGTATGAATTCTCTTGTGTATAGAAAGTAATGATGGAGCATGGAAGGCCTTGCCACATACTTCACACTTAAAAGGTTTCTCTCCCGTATGGATTCTCTTGTGTACAGAAAGCAATGATGGAATACAGAAGGATTTGTCACATTCTTCACACTTATAGGGCTTCATTCTTAAATGAATTCTCTGGTGGTTAGTAAGTTGTGAGTTCCAACGAAAGGTTTTGCCACATTCTTTGCAGGGATAACATTTTTTCCCTGGTGGGTAAAGATTGAAAAATGAAGGAAAGCTGAGAAAAATGCTTTGTAGTTACAATTCTTATTTTTTTTAAAAACAAAACCATTTATTCATACTTAAATTTCCCTTTGTTTTTTATAGGCTACATTCAATTTTCTACAGCTGTACTCAATGGAGTGTAACTCAAAAAACATAATAGGTGAAAATTATGTAACCTTTCACTGAAATAAGAAGACTATGACAACATAGAACATGGAAACAAAGGAATATTAAGACAAAACATGTAAGGAAGGCATAACAAAAAGAAGGCATAAATAAAAAAGGTCTTTTTAAGACCCTTTTTAAGACTCAAGAGAATTATGCTAAAGAAAATCAAATAAATATAGATATATTATGACTTTATCTACAAAAGTAGTACAGAAGTAGTCAAACTTGGAGAACACTCATATACCTAATTTATGGATATTCTAATACAGAATTTCAGTTAGTCAAACTTGGAAAACATATGTATACATAATTTATATATGTTCTAATACAGATTTTTAGTTTTGGAAGGTATGAAAGTTAGGTTCCATAACAGAAGACTGTCATAGCAATATTAAATAAAATGTTTCAAAGATTTAAGACAGGAAGATTATGCACATTTATGAAGAAAATAAATGCTCAAGACAATCATTTTATGAAAAAATAAGTCAAGTTTACTTAGAAAAAAACAGAGCTTTGGAATCAGTGTAAATACAAGCTGACCTCATGGAAGAAAAGAACAAAGGATAGGAGACTCGAAGCCTCATAAACACCAGAATGATCTCCTCCTTTGAAAGCAAAGGACAGTAATGGAGATCCCTAAAAAATGATTTCCAACAAAGCACTGTGTTTCAATGCTCAGGATAAAGCCTGGTTTTCTGTTGGATCTTTGACCTCCCAGTCTATCCACCGACCCCCTAATTCTAAAATACCTGGGTGCATGGTGGCCGCTACTTGTCTCTTCATATCTGAGGGCTCTTGTCTTTGCTCCAAAAATGTGACCAAGTACGGTTTAGAGGAAGCAAGACCTGTTTGTGGGAAAAGAACTATCATAATTTGTGTGTTCTCCCGGTAAATAGCGTGTCCACAAATAAGGAATGAGAAGACACAAGAAAGGATTGTAGAGGATTAGTCAGAATGCTTAGGAGGTATTTAGGATTTTCATGTCCTGAGCTTCATATCCCTTAGTTATAAGGAAAAACATTAAAACTGAACAGTGTGAAATTCTCTTTAAAGTATATATACCCTGTACCACTCATTGTTAAAAGCATAAGTTCCCATTAGATATTGTACAAAGTGAGCAAGTTTCACAATGACAATTAATTAAGAATTTATCAGGGAAGGGATCCTCACCCAGGAACACAAGGTTGTTGTAAATTTCCAGCATCACATTCTTGTACAAATTCCACTGAGCAGGGCCCAGGCATTCCCACTCCTCTGCAGAGAAATAAATGACCACATCCCAGAATGACAGCATTTCCTGGAATAAATTTAAAAAAGGGTGAATAGTATTTGATTAAATTGACTAAGATTATCAATAATAACATAAATACAAGGAGGCATCAGGTACTTCTGCATACAAATCTACAGATCATTCAGAGTGAGAGGAGAGCGGAAGTGCTTCTGATATAGAGAAGTAACAACCCTCAGTACTTCTAATATAATGCTGAAATGTTACAGATGACTCATCTTTGAGGAAAGTGAATGGCAGAGAATCCTAGAAACTCTTAAGAATCATAAAATGAAGAATGAGTGCATCTAAAGGACCTACGGTTGATTCCTAGAAGGTGAAGACTAAGATGGCAAGTAACTCAGGGAATGCAGCTAGGAAACAGCCAGACTAGCATAGCTGCATTAGAATAGATGAATATCTGCCCAGTTATAGTACTTAAGGCTTGTTGAATAAATCTAATAGGGCTTTGTGTCTCATTATTTGGAAGCTAGAATGGGAGCAGAAAAAGCTTCCACTTTTAAATTTTTCCTACAGGTAAATATTCAGCTTCTAGGGATTGGAGCTTTATCTTAGATAAAACAAAGATGGGTCGAATGTATATGGCCAGAAGGACAAATAGGACAAATAAAAACATATGTAGCTAATATAGCCATGGATTTATGGGGACGTGATTTGTTTCAACAATGGAAAACAAAGATTAGTGTTCCTCCAATCTCAAAAACAAGCCATAAAATAAAGACCGCTTCTGAGAAAAAAATTAAATGGTATTTCAAGAACAATTCAGAGACCATTCAGGTCATACGTAAGCATGAAACAACAGCTGCAGAGACGTACTGAATTAGGCAGGGGAGGGGGGCACTGAATCAAACAACCTGTATATTTTAAAGATGTGTTGACCTCAGAATGGAAACCAGAATATTTGTGTTACATTGGGAAAGAGGTTTTTACCTTTGGTTCTTCAGGAGAAGAAAAGCTGGGAATATGATCAAAATTGATAAAGAATAGATTTGAACAGGAGAGACCTTCTGAATAAGGACAGCCAATAGTATACCAAACAGCTTGGTCATTTAGTCCAAAAAAGTCTAAAAATACTTTTTATTTGATCAAGCAAGAAAAATAAAAAATAATACTATTTTCAAATGACAATCTACCAAAGGCATAATTGTTTTACTGACATGAAATGAAAAATGGGTTTGCTTAAACCATGTGTCTTAATTCCATGTTAGAAAGTTAGACTGTAGATTGCCATGTGGCCCACACAATCTTGGACATCAGCTTTTGAGATTTCTTTTTAAATAAAAAAAACATATTATTGTTGTTTTGTATTAAAAACACAGTTAAGAAATTTAAAATGTTTAAAGGGTTAAACCCTTTAAATTCAAAGGGTTATTACAGGTCAAACTTATTTTCTAAATCTCTAAGAGTTGGAGGATTTGTAGTTAAGATAAAATATTTGAGCAGGGTATGGTGTTCCATGCCTTTAATTCCAGCAGGGACAGATGAATCTCTATAAATTAGTTGTTTTCTAAATTCTACAGTTACAGTGAACAAGGTAGGTGCCACACACCTTAAATCCCACTACCTAGGGATGAAAATCAGACATAGCTCCTAATTGGTATGTCTGCACACTAGAATGATCACATGTCATATTTATAGAAACCCTTTACAGGGCTACTAGAAAGGCAGATAACTTCCAATGGGGACAGGAACAAAGAACCGCTTTTGAGACTGCCAGTAAGCTCATCTCCATGAATTAAACTCCGATCAATATTGAACCAGTTGATACCCTAATTATGGATATCATATTTGTTGATGAATTTGCAACTGGGGACATTCATAAAGCAAAAAGGAGTCCACCAACATTTGCCTGTGGGCTTCTATTGCAAATGTTTTCCATAAAGAAAGAAAAAACATTCTCTCTCTGAGAAACAAATCTGGGCATTTTATGAGGCACGAAGAACTTTAAACTCAGTCATTGCCAACGACCCTATGGTTGTAAGGGTACTCCTTACAATAATGAATTGGATCCTTTGGAAGGCAGAGTCCTTTACAGGCTTAGTAGTAGAACTTGTACACAGCTGAAGACTTTTGTGACCAGAATATGGTAGCAAAGGTGTCTGTGCCTTTCCTCACTGAGGAAACAGCTCAGTTGCCTATAATCCTCATCTCTAAACTGCTCACCCCTTCCCCAAAAGAGATACCTATTAAATTGTTGGGACCAGCAGAATGGTCACACTTGGCATAGTTTACTGATGGTTCATCAACCAGTGATGGAACCAAAATTAATGGAAAATGGCAGCCTATAGACTGGGAGATGGAATGGCCAACACCAAGGAAGGAACCACAAAATCAGGGCAGCACTATTGGCTGTAAAACAAACAACTAGGAAAGCAAAGTGAAAATCTTTGCCCTCTATGATTCATGGTGTGTACACATGGTATAGCTATATGGTCACCAAAATGGAAACCCACTAACTGGCAGATAAATGGTAAAAAAATCTGGTCATGAAAGGCATGAATGGAAATGGCAAAACCTAGCAAAACTTATCAAAGACATCAAATTTTATGTAGCTCATACAGGCAAGACAGACAAAACATCTGAAAAATAATAAAACAATGGAAAAAATTTTGTTTGATTAAGAATAGCATATGAAATTTTGCCAGGTTAAATTCAGAATAAACCAGCAAGAACGATACATTATACATTAAAAAAAACAAAAAACAAACAAACAAAAAAACCTTGGAAATTTACCTCTAACTCTAAAAAGTAAGGGGAAAAGGAAAACTAAATTCAACCAGGACAACCCTATGAGAGTAACTATTATAAGGAATCCACAGCCAGACAGTGGGTCACACCTTTAATCCCAATACTTGGGAGGCAGAGGCAGGCATATAAGAATTACAGTGATTTAAATTTAAAAGCCATTTTTAAAAAGCAGGCTGGAATTCAAAGTGAATGTCCTTTGTGATCTACAAATAAATACTCATAAACTTTAAATTTATATATAAAGAGAAAGGGGAATATAGGTACATTTATACACACACAGTAAGCTATATTTAGTTTCAAATTTTCAAAATTATTTTTAAAATTTTCAGTTTGAAGAAAACACTTTCACTGTTGCCAAAAAACATCTTGCCCTAGGAAAGATATAACCTGACAAAAAAGGACCCGCACCCAGAGTTAGGGTTGGGGCAGGGTTTTGCTGTTATCTTTCCAGGAGAATATAAGCATCCTCCTCCAACAACAACAAAAATCTGGAGACCACTGGACAAGTGAAACATCTGAAGAAACAGGAGGGATTATCAAGAGAAAATGTCATAAGAAAAACAGTAAATTGGCCAAGAGGTATCACTCACCTCCAGTTTGTCTCTGCTGCCCTCTACAGATATAAGTGGCAAATGCTCTTTATGTGGTTCCAATTCAGCTACAAATGAAAGCTGGCTTTTGGGTTGGAGTGTGGCTCTCTCCTCTAAACCCATGCATGCTTGTTAAAGGAAAATCCAAAACCTCTGTCCAGCTGGTATCAG